TATTAATAATTATATCAAAACTAGTGGAATAATTTCACAAAAAATAACAATAATAATTGCTACTCGTCGCGACATCTGGTGCACTAACTGGTACTAAATACCCGACTACGCTGTCTTGTATCACGACTACCAGTTCTGTTGACATATTGGACCATGATTGTACTTTATACATTTTTAAAACGTAATTAGGAATTACTTTACTACGCTAGTCTATTTAGAGGAAACGTTTGTAATTGCCTGTGTGTTTTATTTTTAATCATACCGAGATTTTAAGAGTCGATACAACCTCAAAATGGCTTTGGTTGATTTCGTATAACAGTGAAAGGGTTGAATCACTTTGGAAAACATATTTAGTAAAATTGAGGACATACACTGGTTAGTATTTCTAAAAATGTTCGCGATAGAAAAAAAAACAAACTTATCTCGAAATTTTACAAGAAAACCGCTATATCTAATAAGTACTTTACATTACACCAATGATTGTTTTAATATCAACTGAACTGAATAGAACACGTATAAATACGATGTTCATTTTACAACTTGCTTTGATTTAGTTTGCAAAAAAATATTCTGAAGTGAACCAGTGCCCCTGCTGCTCGACCCGCGTAACAGAACGAATTCTGTACGTGGAAATTTTTAATGCGAGCTGAGGTACTATCGATTCTTAAAGGCTTTCATAAAAAAATAAACATATTTTTTTACTTACTGCCTCCGTGGCCGAACGGTTACCATGCCGGACTGCCACGCAGAGGTCCCAGCTTCGATTCCCGGGCCGGGAGAAATAGTTGTATGGCCTACAATTATTTCTCTCGTGAGTTTGGGTGTAATTTGTGGTTGTCTATGTGTGTGTGTCCATGGCACCCGCGACACAGGGTTTCCCTAGTGCGGGGCTATGTTGAGTGTGTGCGTTATATGTATTATATGTACTTACAACAACACAGAAAAGTAATCGTTAGTTACACGTCAAAAATACAGAAAAAAAAATATTCAATAAAATAATTCCGAGATTTCGAAGGGAGGTACTATTTACTCGAATCGACTCCTACGTACAGCATCGTATGTCGAAATTGCCAAGTTTACACGGGAGCGTTAACTTTTGAATTCACTGATATGAGTATAACACGTGACTTTAGCATAGAAATGCTAAATTAAATTGAAAAATGATAAAATAAATTGTGGTTGTTGTTGAATAAAACCCCATTACACCTCTTCGTCCTCCGTTGCGGCGCACCGTCTTAGGTACAAACTCACCTGTACCCAGACTGTCCAATCTACTCAATGAAATCAGTCATCATTGTGATATACACCAAATCTCACTAAGCAAGTTTCGTGAGCTTGTTCACAACAAATTGTTAAATAAATAGGTAGTATAGGTGGTCATGTGTTTTTTGTTTCTTTTTTTACTGTTAAATGGTTAGACATTATTTATTTATTATTCTTTAATCTTAATATAGGTACTTAATTACGAGTTTTCAGTTATGGCATGAGGTGTTTACCAGTAATTAACTGTTGCACTCAGCCTTTAAACAATGTTATGTATTTCTCTAACTGTAGTTTTAGTGTAAGCAGTTGTTGGTGAACCAATAATTTAAAATAAAAATAAATAAAAAAACTGAGAAATGAAGTCACGTGTCCCATTTCAGTGAATTCAAAACTTTAAAACGCTCCTCTGTAAACTTGTCAATTTCGACATACGATAGGTTACGTAGGAGGGGGTCGATAAAAAGTTTCGTTAAATATGCTTTGCCAATTTCGATTCCTAATAATGACACTTGTGTCAACTAACAAAGGGTCTACGGTGCCATTAATTTTTCTGTAACAAGGTGTCGTGACTACGACTTGATGACAAGACTTCAGGTTCGATTCTCGGTAGAATCAGTTAAGGAAATTAAATATTCTAAATTGTCGTTCTGGGATTAAATTATAATGGTTACTATAGTCACTGATAGTTACTTTAACGTTTTCAATGTTGTTCTTGCTTGCCACATCACAGAGAAGTTAACGACACTATAGACCAAGCGAAAAAAAAAATACGAACAGAAATGCATAATATTGAAACACAACCAATTTTTGCACTTAATATAATAGTTAAGCATTCGATCTCAAAAATCGGGAAAAATAGAACATTGTATTATAGCAACATTGTTATTTTAAATGTCAAAAAATGTGAGGTAAATTTTATGAACTTGCTACAATAAAAAAAAAAACTTTTTTTTCTTGTTATTTTCATGGCTCTGGAATCTTACTAACCACATAAATACGTAAGAAAACATAATTTGAAATTACTAAGTAAAGATAATTAGTTGAATATTAAACGTTACGCCATTTACATTGCGTTCAAATTTGGAATATAAATAACAGTTTTTACAACTGTTAAAATTTTATTATAAAGTATAACATTGAGTATTTAGTTGTACATCGTAGGTGTTTTTTTATTCGAATAGTTCTATTTTTCTCGAGCTGAAAATTAACATACATCAGTTAAGAGCTAAAAAAACGAGAGCACCATTTATTCACATACAGGATGATTAAAATTACGTAGTAACTAACATTTTTTTATTGAAAAAATCATTCATTGCAATTATGTTCTTTATCCAATCGCAGAGCAGAATAATTGTGACGTAATCTGTTTGTCTGAATTTGATTGGATGAAAGACTTTATTCACAACAAAAACGCACCACAATTTTAAAGTCACCCCATAATTTTACAGTAATACTGGTCTGTTTTTGTTTTCACCCTCAATTTTCATGTGCAACTAAATATATGCATGACAATTAAATATTTTCACAAATTAATCTAATTAACTTACCTGCTTAGTATATAGAAGGTAAGTTTATCGTTGAAGTAAGTACATAGGAACAACAACAAAAAAACTAAAGAAATAAGGCAAGACATGTCACGGTGCCATTTTTGTGTACTAAATTCACGAGACCAAATGGCAACATTGCTGTTATGTGTAGGTGTTGCCATATTCGATATGAATTTTCTACCAATTTCTTTTGTTGCCATTTAAAATCATTCGAAAATTTGGCATAATAATCCTCGCAATCTATGCGAGATAGAAAAAATAGACATAAAAAATCTAGTTCTTAAGATTTAAATATAATATATTATACCTTGGAAAGAGATTGAACATAAAACACATGCGCATACGATACAATTTACAATATGTCTTTTTTCCGGTCACTGGTACATTTTAATTTCTACCTTATAAGCATGCACTTTGTGTTCTATTTTTCACGTTCTGAAACGTCTCTAATTTTTATTAATCACATCAGTCACTTTGTTGGAAAATTAGCTAATGATGCATAATTATGTACGTACTCAACGTAATCATGAGCCCATAAACGTTCCAATGTTGGGCACGGGTCTCTTCTAAAAAGAGAGTTAAATAACGTGTTCCATCACGCTACATATACAGTAGTGACACTTACCAAACTGTTAAGAAACAGAGAAGTAAGGGTTCCTCAACATGACATGGTTCCAAAATCTAGTTTTCAGCCTTAATATAGAGGAGGAATATATATGTGTTACACGTATAAAGGAGATGTCAATTCATAATTATGTAAGTACATCTTAAAGTACAATTATTGAGCTAGGTATATTATTTTATTTAAAATTTAGGGTCTATTGACCAAGTCCATACCTTGCCTTAGCCCCAGACAATTCAGGGCTTATTTAAGTAATTAACTTAATCATTTTAAAAGTAAATTTAAATTACTAAAAAGTAAATTTTCTAATTTGTCTAAAGTCCTGACATTTTGGTGTTCTTCGTGGATATTACACTATACATTGCTTTGTACCCACAATTTCGGGTAAATTTCCCGATTTCACAACTTTTCAGTCAAAGTTATTACGTAAATTGTATTCGATTTATATTATCACTATCGCATTTTTGAATTGAAAATCACTTGGAAATATTCGAAGTTCATTTTTACAATTGACATTTAAAACACTGGTGTACCACTGATTTGACAATTTTGATAATTTACAAAATGTTTACACTTGACTGACATAGTTTACATATGATTGAATCTTATAAATTGTTGCAGTACAGAAGTATTAACATTTACTAAAACTTCAATTCAAAATTCATTAATTAAAACTGTAAATACTTTTAAACTTAATTGTTTATTTTACACTGTTAACTCTCTTTTATCTGCTTACACTTGTCGATATTGTTTAGAGTTGTCCAATTCCATTTTGCGAATGTTTACACTTGACTCAAAAATGTTTAATCTGTTTACACTAGTTAAATAATGTTTACAATTGTCCGTTTTTAGTTAAGTTTTCACTAAAAAACCCAAAAATGTAAAACACTTTTGTTTACACTTGGCCTATTCCTGTCCAAATAGATTTTTTAAGTCGTGCTCGTATAATGCTATGACGAGCATAATGCCTATTCCAGTCGCGAGGCCCATTAATTGTAAAATACACTGACATAATGTACCTTCTTTGCTGTGCGATGTACTCAGTTCTGGCATCTGCGAAATATGAAAAACAGTTTTAATTTTTAAATTTTAATGTTAATGTTTGACCACCATGATACTCAATTACGTTAAACCAGGGTTTCTTAACCAGTGGTTCACGGTTACAATGAACGGGGAGGGTCCATGATGAGCTTACCTAACACAATGCTTTAATATACTTTTTTTATATAAAATAAATGACGGGACAAACAAGTCGTGCGCCTGATGGTACAATACACACATATCCATAACAGTTGCAGTGCCACTCAGAGCTTTAAATCGCAAAGACCTGAGGAGCACTGCCACTGCGCCCATCACCCTGAGACATAAGTTGACAAGTCCCATGTGCCTGTAACTTCACCAGCACCTTTACCCTTGCAAACCGGAACGCAGTAATGCTCACATTACTGCTTGGCGGCAGAAATAGGTAAGGTGGCAGTACTTGTACTGCTGTACCCTGGACGAACTCTTTCACAAGGAGCTCTATTGCTACTAAATATGTATACAAATGGTATACAATATGTTGTGAATAAATAGGCACTGTGCGCATGACCTTTTCGAATTTTCGCGCTGCAGCAGCAACTGTCACGCTAACTATTTATATGTAAAGTTTAATCCTAACAATAAAATCTAAACCTCGTTTACTTTTTTGGA